TACGTCTATCATATACATATATATATATGTACATACATACATACATACATACATACATACATACATACATACGTACATACATACATACATACATACATACATACATACATACATAAATACATACATATATATATATATGTATATATTGTTTGCACTAGTCTGCACGTATGTATGTTGCTAGTAAGCCCTACACCATACAAGGCGCCCTTTCCCCGAAGATTTTGCACCTCCATAGGAAGCACACTAGAAACCCATAACATGTACAGATCCCCTAACCCTAAACCCTAAACCCTAAACCCTAAACCCTGAACCCTAAACCATAAACCCTAAACCCTAAACCCTAAACCCTAAGCCCTAAACCCTAAACCCTAAAAGGGAGACGTGCAAGGCCAGGTGGCCTTGCTTCATGTACGCGGAAGTGCTGGATGAGGAAGGCTGCGGCCTTCTGCTGACTGGCATCCACAGAATCCTGCGTTGGCGCGAGCGTATATTAGGGTTTAGGGTTTAGGGTTTAGGGTGTTAGGGTTTAGGGCACAGCTACTGGTACGAACACTGTGTAGGAGTTTAAAGCCGCATCATAGCGTAATATATTGTTGACTGTCTGAGGATGGGATATGGGCTGTTTTGCCGTTGCATGTAATAGTGTAATATCTGATCTTATTATCCATTACTTTCTGTCTCGGCTCGGGCATAAAAAGATTCAGTTGTTTGGTTGTCGATGCTTTGAACTTTCATGTCAGGGTGATTAAGCTTGAAGCCTAAGCTCAACAACCCAAACCCCAAACCTACACCTCAAACCAGGAATCAAAATATAGTACTCACCCTTTTAAAAAGGACCCTAAAAGGGACACTCCTTTACAGAACTACCCATATGCTATATAGGTACATGGACCCTGAAGGCTATGTAGGGCTACCAGAAATGCTTGCGCCAAACGGATCAAAAACGCTGTCTTCCCGCAAGCTCGCGAAGAGACACGATCGAGGCTGAATAATAGAGGGACCTCATAGTTTTGAGGTCGCGCTCTACCATACTTGTACGATCTAATGTAGGGGCCTTGGTTCTTAGAATAGGGTTTTGGTGTATATTATACTATAAGTATAATAAGGAGCCCCCAAAATAGTATAGGTAAATCTAGAAGC